TTATACCATACATACGTTTTGAGGTATACGTTGAAATTGCGCAACCTGGGTATTTTTATTTGATCGCTTATAACTTACGTAGTTTTGCATCGATTTTCTTCGATGATAGCTTATTTTTTTTGTAATACAACAGAGCTTAGGGAGAGAAAAAAAATCTGCAAAAAAATAAAAGGTTTTCGAGATCCTTCCCCGCAAAGTACAATTTTTTTTATATTTTTACAAAAAAAATTGAAAAAATCGGTAATGATTGTTCGTTATCTTTGAATCTACAGGGCCTAGCAAAAAGTGTTGTATGCACAGCTTATAGAAAATTTTATTACCTTTTAAAAGCTTCAAACCGTTTTGGAATTGCTTAATTCGTTCTTGAGATATATATGAATTTATTTTTTTTTTGCAAAAACGGTAAATTGCAAATATCTCAAAAACGGTACCATAAAATTAAAAATAACCTTGATTTTCGGAATCAGGGGGTGATTTTACATACGAATTTCATAACGGCGTCTCTGGTAAATTTTGGCCGTCGACCAGTGTTAGTGGTACTTTTCCACATTTTAAAAAATATGTAATTTGTATACTTTTTTTCGATATAGAGCCATCCTAGGGGGTTAGAGAATTACAATTCCGATTTTACTGTTTTTGGACCACCCTAGTGTACAATGATGTGTACACTCATGTTAAAATGAATAACACCTTTATTTTTTATGAACTATATTTTATTTATATACCAAAATATTGTTAAAAACAGGTACTCTGGCGGTTTAAAGTATTATCTGTTACTTACATTCATAATTTTGCTTTGAATAAAAGTGTACTGAAAAGTACTGATAAAAAAATCAGCATGAAAAAGTCTAACGTACTGACTTCGCGCATAAAAAAAGTCTGGCAACCCAACTTTAGCTACAGCAGCTCAAAATTGCTTGTGGACACACTGGCACCCGGTTATGCGTTCTAGGGTTAAAGGGAGAATATCCTATCTTTATTAAGTGGCACTTAAATTTTTGCCAATACTCCCCACCTCTGTTATTTACACAAAGTTGTCCGTAATTACCAAATATCGATTCAATAAATTTTTAGAATCCTTTTTTGTCGAACATTTAAAAATTTTAAAATTATTTTTCAAAAATATAATTTTTTAAAAACCCTCACAACCAACATTTTCATGCTGTATAACTCAAACAATTTTCAAAATTTTTAAAAATCCTTTAGTGTCTGTTTGTTTTTTTTTTTGTACCTAGCATTGAATTTCACTAACTTACTGATTATTCTAAAGACCACTATAAATCATGATATTTTTAGCGTATTCTGACCCTTAAATTTATATCTAAGATACGAGTTATACGCAGAGTGTACCTAATACATTTTTTTTATTAAAAAGTCGAAAAAAGTCGGCTTTTCTCCGTCGATCAGTCGACTTTTAAAGCCAAATGTACAGAGTCGATCGAAAAGTCGAAAGACTTTCTAGTTCTGACAACCCTAATATGGTCAGATGAACGCATGCCCAACGATTTTAAGTGTGCTCTGCCCAATCCGCAAGAAAGGCGAACCCGCCATACGCGCCAAATACCGCGGGGTCATCCTTCTAAGCATAGGTTACAAGGTCTTATCCAGCGTACTGTGTGAATGACTGAAGACCACGGTCAGCGAACTGATTCGGCCTTCTTCCTTTAAAAATTACAAAGCTAAAATATTTACAATAACTGCATACGTTTACGTGCATCGCACAGTGGGATAATTGATATCGATATTGGAGACTAATTCAAAAAAATTAATTTAAAAGTACAAAGAAGTTTTTAGTACCAAATGAAAGTAGATAAAATTCTAAATCATTATATAATCAAATATTTGCCGAATAATTTACGTCGCTTTTTCCTTTTTATGTGCGCATAGTCACAAACGTGATTTAGTATTTAATATTTCCAAGCTACTTCTAAGTATTCTTTAAAGATATATCAAAAACGGCAATAGAATAGGGATGTGCGATTAATCAATTAATCGAGCAAGCTGATTAGTCGAAACCTGATTAATTAATTAATCAAAGGATAATAATTGTTGACTAGTCAAAGTGATTAACTTGTCGATTAATCACATTTAATTAATCAGAATATAAACAATTTTATTAATCAGAAAACTGATTAATGATAACCTGATTAATCAGAAACCTGAATAATTGCTGCTATAGTTTTTTAAAGAAAAAATGTATACACATACATACCAGGGATATTGCGAATATTTGCAATCGCAAATATTAGATGAACTCGATAATTGTATCATCGACATTTTGGGTAACGAGTCGACGGTTGTGCAGGGTCTCGGCCAGCCCGAAAGTGATGGGGTGTCCTCCAATTTGGACTCTACATTGGAGAACAAAGAACCCCAGAGAGCAACATCGAGCAGCAAAGACAACCTCAAGAAAGGAAAAGTGCATACATGTGATAAATATGAAGAACTAAAGGTTCAATCAAGTCGGCCGCTGTGGTGTAGTGGTAAGCAGTGCGCGCTTCCACTCCACAATGCCTGGGCTCAAACCCTGATCAAAGCAACATCGCCAAAAAATAGAAAAAAAGGTTTTTTCTTAACAGCGGTCGTCCCTCGGCAGGCAATGGCAAACCTCCGAGTGTATTTCTGCCATGAAAAACACCTTCTCATAAAAATACAATCGCCGTTCGGAGTCGGCGTAAAACTGTAGGTCCCTCCGCTTTGTGTGACAACATCAATGCGCACGCCACAAATCGGAGGAGAAGCTCGGCCAAACACTAACATATGTGTAAGCGCCAATCTATTATTATTATTATAAATTGGAGAGTGAGCTATACAAAAATAAATTAAAAATATTACTGTTAGAAAAAAAGTTAGGAGTGAAAAGATTGAAATTCACAGTGGATTTAGAGGAGGAATCGAATAATGACAATTCTGACACTACTCGCATTCTTTTATTGATTCCGATGCATTCCACCCGAATTCTTGATATTGAGGATTATTAATGTGTACATACACATGTACGTATGCACACTGGCAATCAAGAGTGAGTGCATGGTGATTTTTGTTAAATATGTGCAATTATTATCATTTTTTGTTATTTTTTTATAAAACTATGATTCATGCTTTAACCAAAACGACATAAATCAAACTTTCAAACTTTGTACAGAATTTAGGAAAATTCAACATCATGCACTCACTTTTGATCGCCAGTGTATGTATGTATAGTATATATTTTTCTTATACTTGAATTGAATTCATTTATTTTTTATTTTTATATGTTCGTTATCTATATACATATGTATGTTTATATGGTTGCCAGACGTACTGATTTTATCAGTACAGTACTGATTTTTCAACTCTTGTACTGATTTTATTCATTTGTTCAATCAGTACTCTAATATACTGACTTTTTAAATTTTTAACTGATTTGTACTGAATTTGCAATTCAAACAAAATACTTTAAGAATTTCTTAAGGTATTTACATAACGTTGAAACTTCTTCAAACTGTGCTGTAAAAAGTATTTAAGAAGAAAATAATTTAATTATAGTTGACAGTTGACATGTTTCAGATAACTAGTATCGCCCAGTTGTCGAAATTCGACATTTTTTCATACACTTTTAAATTTTGCTTATCACCAATATTGAACGGGACCAAATTAGTCCCGGTAATCCTGATAAAACCGCAACTTCCGAAAATTAAGAAAATCTTCCTTAAAATTTTTTTATGACAAATGACCTTTTTATGTTTAATTTAGACGGAAACGAACAGCCAGATCTTTCATACAATTTATTTTATTTAAAATTAATTTGCAAGACTTGTGAATTTTTTTAGAGATAGATTTCGGAGCCCCCGGGCCCGCGGAACAATTCTGAAAAACGTCGGGATTAGCGGGTTCGGAAGTCAAAAATTGAATTTCGGGATGGGCGGGATCGGGCTCGAGCACCCCCCTACCTGGCTACGCCCATGCATACATATAAAGTAATTGATTGCCTTCTGTGTACAATGATGTGTACACTGATGTTAAAATGAATGACACTTTTATTTTTTATGAACTATGTTTTAATTATATACCCAAATATTGTTAAAAACAAGTACTCTGTATTGTATGTTACTTACATTCATAATTCTGCAGCTATATGCAGTATGATAGCTAAAATTATTTTTAGCAAAATAATGCTAAAGTTAGCAAAATGAAAGATAATAAGTGATTAAAAAAATTTTTGGCGCAACGTAATGCTAATATATTTTGATAATTTGCATAACTTATAACTTATTCGCTAGGATCTTTTCGCTAAGCATTTCAAATATTGGTGCAACTCTTATCTTATCTTATCTTATACTTGTCTATACTTGATTTGAGTAAAAATTGGTTTCTTGGTGGATTAGAGTACGGAGATTTCAAAAATCTAATTTTTTTTTACCTAGCTCTTACATTTTTCATGGAAACTGAGATTGAAACTTCAAAATTTGATATTCAGAAGTAGTTCCAATACTGAGTAGTTATTTTATTACTTATACAGGGCGTTTTCCTAATAATATTAAAGACTTCAAGGCTTCATTCTATGGCTTAATTCATGGCAAATAAGATTCCCTATATCTCTCTTACGCAAACCCTCTAGGAATGGCAGCTACTTTCATTTTGGTCCTTTTTGACTACAAAATGTTTTTTTAAATTGATTATATCTTTTGGTGTGGATGTCACACGCTTAAAAAATTTGATTCATTCAAGACGACATTAAATACTCAAAAGACAAATATAATTTTGTTTTCCTTTTTATTAGTTACTTCGCACGAACAAGAGTTGTTGCAAAATACTGAATCAAAAATTATTTGTTTTATCTAACGCCGTTTATTGAAAAATTAAAGTCATCATGCAGTCAAATTCCAAACTACTCAGCAAACACACTAGTTCATTGACTATATATTTTGTGGTGTATTCATACATGAATTGTGGTGTATTCATACATGAATTTTGTGGTGTATTCATACATGAATTCATTCATGAATTTCGGGTTGAAATCATACTAGTCAGAAAAAGTGTAATCTATACTAGAAATCATACTAATCAGAAAAATCCCATCCCATAGTATACCAACTGGAATGAATGTCAAATTCGTGGACTAGTATGACAAGTGGTAGGATCTTGACGTGCATACTGACTAGTATGTTCTGGCGCATAGACTGAGTAGTATGTCAACTGCTATGATTCTGATGTATATAATGACTAGTATGCCAACAGGTACGATCATGACGTATATACGAACTAGTATCTTAAATGGTATGATATTGATGTATATATTGACTAGTATGTCAACTGATATATTGCTGATGCAGAGGCTGACTAGTATGCCAACTGGTATAGTGCTGATGCAGAAGAGGACAATTGCCATCTCGTAGGACATCGCCGTGGCCAGTTGCTTATATGGAAAAATTACAGAACTCGAACTAGTTGAGGCCGTGTGGCTGACTAGTATTTGATTAGTATAAAACTAATTGAGTTGACTGAAGGGTACTTATTACTTTTAAGTTTCTTCAGCATCGACTAAATACTCTTCCAGCTCGTCCATTGTATAAACTGCATTTTTGTTTGGGATAGCACTCCTTTTAAAAACTACTTCAGGATCTGATGATATTGTTAAGTATGACATCAAGTCTCTGTTTGTATGCTCCCGAGCAGTTTTACGTGTATGATCATATCGTACGATACGTATGTGTTTATGTAAAGCTTCCAGAGCTTCCTCTGAAAAATTGCCTGTGGGAATAAATTCGTAGTAGTAAAAAATGCCGAATAGCAACAAATCGATTTTCTTACCAATTGGTAGATCGAAATACTCAATAACCTCACACCCATGCATCAATATTTTATGCACGCTGCTAGGCATGTAGTACCATTCGTATTCAGTCAAATACATTGTTCTTGTCCTTATAAGGAGCTCTCTAAACGCGTCGATATTAATACGCATTCCACACGATATTAATCGCAGTATTATTGAAAAATTTTGAATTAGCTCTTTATTAATGCCGGTAATTTCTGATGCCACTTCTGCATTTAAAAAAAATTTGCGAGCTGTGTTGCCATCATTAGTTGTTCCAAATCCAGTCTTTACTTGGTCCACTATTAAGCCTAATCTTGTCCTAAACTCATTTTGAATCCTAACTTTATTCGCAGAAAAGGCGTCTTTGTTTTCTTTGCGAACTTGCCAGCATTTAAATGTTAAACGGTATGCGATGTGGAGTAAACACTCAAAACATCTAATCCAAGCATGCAGTGTAGACAACCCATACTTGTAATGATTAGCGATTGGTACTTTTGTAAAATTAGTAACATTCATTTCGGTCGGTTTGGCATGGCAAATAAAACAGTTACTGGAAGCATTAGTGCCAGTCAAAATATTGGCAACAGATCCATCAATCATGGTGCAATGCATTTGATAAGAAACTTGAATCCCTTTTCCGTTTCGTATTACAACATCATCTTCTAAGTTCTCAATTTTTCTCGACATATCATTATATTCGAATAGAACTAGTTCGCGGTTTTCCTTCTTGAAACTAAACTTAATTGGACGACAATAAAAAGACGATGAGCATTTGTTATTGGTCCATATATTTTTGTTGGATGACAAATCAATTAACCTGGAAAAAATATTTATTTTTTAATAACTTATATGGCTTGTCGAAAAGATATAAGACCGTCATATCGCAAAATAGCTAATCGAGTAAATTAATTAATTCAGACCAGCCTTTTGCAAAATAATACTGTAAAAAGTTGTCAATGTAAATTAAAATGCCATTTACTGATCTAAACTCGAATTTATTTTTAAAGGCTATTGAATGTTTTTGGAAGACATATTAGATAATTTTTTGTTACCTCAGAGGGACTAGCGCAATGATGAACATAAACTCATCCGTTAATTTGTCGTCACCAAAATTTTGCTTATAGCGGCTATACCCCGAACTTCCATCCATGCCCCACTTACAAACCAAAGAAGCTTTGGTTATGTCACCATTATCTGGGCTTAGTTCTAAAATACTTTGCGTTGTTTTCAGCAATAATGATTTCAGATCAACTTCGGCTGAATATTCAGTCGATTTAATCGTTGGCAGCAAAGTTTGTTTTTTTGTTTGCAATGCGTTTAAGCTCGGTATACAATCTTTATGCAACCGGTTTATTTTTGCACGTAAACTATTATATTTACGATCTGATAAGTTCAGATCTATGTATAGTGCGAGTGAATCAGATATGGGCAAACCTTCGGTACTACTTTCAAAACATTCAACTTTGCTTGCTTTTTTCATTTTTTTCAGAGCATACTCGAGCTCTTCGATGGAATAGTTTTTCAACAAATGCTCTACCCTTCGATTTTTTGTTCTCCGTGAAGCTTCGCAAAATTCTTCTTTAGAAGGTCTTCCCCGTTCAGCACATTTATCCTTATTTCCATTGGAATCCGGAAGGGAAAGGAATGTCCAATTTAGCCATTTAGAATATGTTTTTTCAAAAGCGCTTCTTTTGCGGCCACTATAATTCCACTTATTTTTCATCTCACTATTAAAAAGTTTTATTTTTTGATTCAAAAGTGCTTTGTCGCATTTAGCGTGTATTAATTTGTCTTCAAAAAATGCAGATAATGCAGACACTCTATCTGATGGACGAGTAAAAATCCAGATATCAGCTAAAATTGAGTTTTTTATAATTGAATTCATATTAATATTAGTTTTTTCACTATTTTACGCTTCACTACACAGCACAGAACACTACCGCGTGTGTCTACAGTAATAAACTTTACTATTTTTAAAGAATGTTTTGGCATTTAAGTAATGGAAAATACTGTGGTAACTGTAATCAGTGAAATTTTTTTTTTGCAAAAGTTTATTTTATAACCTTAAAAAAAACGATTTTCTTCGAAAAGCGCAATGATTCTGCAGACTTTTCTTTTTATTGCAAAGAAAAATGCGCCTTATTTCAAATAAAATAATAAAAAAAAACATACTTTTACATTTTTTTTTTTATCCCTTTGTAAACTTAGGAATTTTTTAAATTTTCTGCAACAAATTTTAGGGTGTAGCAAATAGGCCATTCCAGCCAGGAAACTCAATATTTTTTAAAAAGCTCTATAGAGTGGTTTCCTTACAGATTTTCTAATTAGAAAAATTGTGTCTTAAGATAAAGTATGATAAATTGTATTTTTAGCAATTTTTTTTTTAAAGACTACAGCTGAAGGCATTTTCATAAAAGAAAAAATATATAAAAAACACACAAGTTTAAGAGGTTTTTGTGAGAACCTTATGAGATAAAAACAAAAACTAAGTCCAGATCCTTAATCTAGGATAAATTTCCTTTCCAACGATACCAAACACGTTGACATACGTGACAACAATTTTTTTGATTTTTGCCCGCTCATACAGCACTGTGGAACGTTCGGATTCTGCAGATTTTAAATGCATCTTTATAAAAAAATAGGTAGATTTTCATCAAATCTCGTCGGATTTCGTTGAAATTTCATAGGTAGGTTCCCAAATATCAGTTTATTAGAACACAGTTTATATTAGTTTGATAAATTAGTTTTAAATACATATATTAATTAGTTAGTAACTAAGTTTTGCCTTATAAAAAATGAATAGTTGCAATATTTTTTTTTGTTCCTTAACCAGTGAGCATATGCTTAATACATCTAAGATCACATTATAATTCTTACCAATAGTGGACCTCATCATTAAATATTACTAATCATCAAATAAAAAAATCACCAGATAAACATCACTCATATGCCATGTTGAATCCAAGGGTTTTCCTAGTCATGGTAAATATTAATAATATAATAACAATCTTTTCGCGCATGCACCTTTGCCAAGTGTTTGGCTGAGNTGCTACGCCTCTTTTCCAAACACGTCCATTTTTTGCGTGAATATGAAAATGATTTCACACAGTGTTGGCAAACTGTTAATCTGATTAACGATTAAAAATTAACGATTAAAATGTTAATCGCGTTTGACGNATAACAATCTTTTCGCGCATGCACCTTTGCCAAGTGTTTGGCTGAGCTTCTCCTTCAATTTGTGGTGTGGGTCGTGATGTTGTGACAAAAACGCCACGGACCTAGACCTTTACGCCGCCTCCGAACAGAAATGGCTTTTGTGAGAAGCTTTTTTAAGGCAGAAATACACACGGAGGCAGTGTTGGGAGTTAANGTTGTGTGTTTTATGCTTATAAAAAGCACATAATATAAAAACATTATAATTATTGTTATTAGTAATATACAAACTAGGAACTTTTACAAACCTAGTTTGTAAAACGTTTGTTGATATATATCTTAATGAAAATGTACACCAAATTGCTTAGAATGATGAGGAAACCCGAGTTAGCCATACCGGATTAGCTTGCTTTGTGTGCACAGGGAAATTCCAGCATACCTTAATTAACCACCAAACCTTCTTGATCAAATTAAGAGTTAATGATTAAAAATTAATTTTTTAATCGCGGTTACGATCAACTGTTTAGTCGGATTAAAATTAATCATGATTGACTGTAATCAGATTGAATTTATTCGAATTAACTAACTAATTAAAACATCAATCGATTAATGCCAACATCGATTTCACATCCATATCACTATACTAAGTTTCAGTTCTCTCCAACAAATACTTCCAGAGATATGTATGTAATATGAAAATTGCAATTTGTATGGGAGGGGCGTTGAGTTATCGGACTTACTTTCAGTCTAAGGCCATCCTTCCGAAATCCGTAGTAAGTGTACTAAATTTCGTTCTGATCGGAAAACCGGTTAAGGGAGTAGCCTATTTTTTAATCCAGGTCATAAACCATCTTTGAGCAAAATTTCATTTTCCAACAGGTGGCAACTCTTAAAATAGTAGCCCATTTTCCAATATAGGTCATAAGCTATCTCTCTGCGAAATGTCATGCAAATCTGTTCAGTCGTTTTCGCGTATTAATGTAATTAAAACTTTTTAACAGGTAACAACTCTTCCAAGAAATTAGCCTATTTTCCACTGTAGGTCATAAGCTATCTGCTTGCAAAATTTCATGCAAATCCGTTCAGACTTTTCCGCGTATTAATTTAATTAAACTTTTTTAGCAGGTGGTAACTCTTAAAAAAATTTGCCTATTTTCCAACCCAGCTCATAAGCTATCTGTGTGAAAACTTCCATGCAAATCAGTTCACTTATTTCCGCAATTAATTAAATTAAACGTTTCTAACGGGTGACAACTCCTAAAAAAAAGTAGCCTACTTTCCAACCTATGTCATAGGCTATCTGTGTGCAAAATTTCATGCAAATCCGTTCAGTCGTTTCCGCGTATTAATTTAATTTAACTTTTTAACAGGTGGCAACTCTTAAAAAAAATTAGCCTATTTTCCACAGTAGGTCATAAGCTATCTGTGGGCAAAATTTCATGCAAATCTGTTCAGTCGTTTCCGCGTATTAATTTCATTAAACTTTTTTAACAGGTGGCAAGTCATCCAAATATTATTCTATTTTCCATTGTAGGCCATAAGCTATCTGTGTGCAAATTTTCATGCAAATCCATTCAGTCGTTCCCGCATAATAAATAAATTTAACTTTTTTGACAGGTGGCAACTCTTAAAAAAATAGCCTATTAACCAATCTGGCCCATAAGCTATCTGCGTACGAAATTCTATGCATATCCGTTCAGTCGTTTCCGCGTGATGATTTCCCAAACATCCAAANTTAACTTTTTTGACAGGTGGCAACTCTTAAAAAAATAGCCTATTAACCAATCTGGCCCATAAGCTATCTGCGTACGAAATTCTATGCATATCCGTTCAGTCGTTTCCGCGTGATGATTTCCCAAACATCCAAACATACAAACTTTCACATTTATAATATTAGTAAGAAGTAAGAAGTAAGATTATATCTGAAATAAACACAGGGGCTTGAAAAATTCATCGAAATCATTGTTTGCTCTTTGGGAATTAGTGGTATGATAGAAAAATTAATTGATTAACTCCCAACACTGCCTCCGTGTGTATTTCTGCCTTAAAAAAGCTTCTCACAAAAGCTATTTCTGTTCGGAGGCGGCGTAAAGCT